AATTTTTTGTCGTTCTTTTTGCGGGAATAGTAAATTGCACGTGGGGCCCACACTAGGAACGGGGGCCACCCAATATTCCGAGTCCACATAATATATTAATCTTGGTATCGATAATATATATATATATATATATATATATATATATATATGTTGGTGGATATTCATTAAGAAAGACATTGAGTCGATGGTTGGTCAAACGAGGCCCAATTACCGGTTTTGTTAATTTATCGGATAACAGTCCGAAATGAATTTCGGAGACTTCCAAATTAAAGTTGGGGAAAGTATAATTATAAAGGCCCGTAATGATTGAGAACATACTACATATTTTATTTGACCCGATAAAATATAATAGTTAAAACAGTCCGAGAAATACAACTTTCGGGGCCGAAGGTACACTTTGGGACATAATGGGATGACCTCCCACATGAGTGGGGGTGTAACACCCCGGCCCCGTGGGACCTGAGGTAGTTACTCCAGACCTCTAGTACTACTCACAAACCACCACTAGCCTTTACCGCGCACTTTGTCCTCACTCATGCGCGCCCTGAGAAACTTCCCAGGGGGTCACCCATCCCAAGACTACTCCCGTGCGAGCACGCTTAACTTTGGAGTTCTTGGGTAATGAGCTCCCTTAAAAGGAGATGCACCTCTGTTGGTATGAGTAGTACTATTAATCCATTTATATTAAATCTCAAGCGTTACAATCACCCTCACTTAGGTTCGCAACGTCCTCGTTGCGCCCTTAAACTAATCTCAATTAAACCCCAGAATCTTTTCCCCTGCTAGGTGTCTGCCCGATATCCAACGGATCAGCACACTGTCGCAGGGTTGCTCTGATACCACCTGTAACACCCCGGCCCCGTGGGACCTGAGGTAGTTACTCCAGACCTCTAGTACTACTCACAAACCACCACTAGCCTTTACCGCGCACTTTGTCCTCACTCATGCGCGCCCTGAGAAACTTCCCAGGGGGTCACCCATCCCAAGACTACTCCCGTGCGAGCACGCTTAACTTTGGAGTTCTTGGGTAATGAGCTCCCTTAAAAGGAGATGCACCTCTGTTGGTATGAGTAGTACTATTAATCCATTTATATTAAATCTCAAGCGTTACAGGGGGCCACCCCACGTTTTTGAGAGCTCATAGTTGACAAAGAGGGCTGCATAATATGGGTTGGGATTTGTGTGTAGTCTGAGAATGATGGTTGGGTGAGAGTTGACCCAAGGTGGACCCCCCCCCCCCCCTCACTTATTTGCCATTTTAGACAAAAGGAGCCTCCTCATCCCTTTCCCCATTGTCTTGTGCGTCCAAGCCACCCCAATCAAAGAGAAGAGCTCTGCAAACACCTTACTCCATAGCCAAATTCGAGCTCAAGAAGACAAGGTCCAAGAAAGAAGATTAAAGAGGGAAATAGTGAGGAAAAGCTTGGATAATTAAGGTAATGGCTCCATAGTAACTTTATCTCCTCTCTTTGGACTTAATATGACATATATAGCATATGAGGAACCCCTAGGGTGTTTCTACACGTCCAAAAGTGTAGAACGATGGGTTGGAAAGTAGTTCTACGTCCAAGAACGGACTTAGAAGCCAAAGGGACCGGTTCGCTGGAAAATAATCTTTTAAGGTTATTTGTATTGATATGGGTTTTGTGATGATAAAACCTTGTTAGGAACTTGTATAAGGTGATTCAATAGCTTTCACGAAGTTGAAAGAGTTGCCGGAGTTCGTCAAAGTTCGCCAGAGTTTCGCTGGAGTTCAACCGAGAAAGGTAGAACTTCATAGCGCTAATTCGAGGTGAGTGGACGGCTTAATGTCTTATAAATCTTGGGTTAATTATGAGATTACCTAAGTAAATGTTATATGTGTTCATAATGATGTTTAAAAGATGCTTAAACATGTGATTAGCCAAGGTGATTAGGCTTATATGAATGACACATTGATATCATAAATGAAGTATGATATGAAAATGTTTATAAAAACATATATGATGTTTTAAAGGATAAAAAGGGCATAAAATGCTTGGTTATAACTTAATACACGTTGGGATTAAGTTTGACACGAATTTGGTTTGAAATGGCGAGTCAACGAAAATGTTGACTAGGTTGCCCAGGGGATAACCGGCGCCGGTTATAGGCAAAAACCGGCACCGGTTATGGTTCGGCATGGCTGGTTTAATTAATTTAATTAATAACTGTCGCCGGTTATGTCAAAACCGGCGCCAGTTTGGTGCTGTTTTGCCTATATGTTGACTTTTAATGCATGAATTGCATGGATGATTATGCTTAGGCCTTAAGACTTGGTTTAGTCTTGATTATTGATTATGATATAGACCTTATCTAGTATTATATGTGGTAGATCATAGGTAGGGTGGAGTACCCAAGGATCGGGCGTGTATCCTCAAAACTCGGTTATAGGGTGGAGTACCCAATGATCGGGCGTGTATCCCCAAAACTCAGTTATATAGGGTGGAGTACCCAAGGATCGGGCGTGTATCCTCAAAACTCGGTTATATAGGGTGGAGTACCCAAGGATCGGGCGTGTATCCTCAAAACTCGGCTATATAGGGTGGAGTACCCAATGATCGGGCGTGTATCCTCAAAACTCATAGATTACTATTTTGTAATTCAGGACCAGGCGGTGTCCTCATGTTAAGATGATTTAAACCATGAGGAGTTCTTTACACTCATAGGTATATGGGTGGGTTGGGGTTTACGTCAAGGATATTGACTATACTATTTTCCCAAATAAACAATGTACCTGTCTCACCCTATGTTTGGGTCTTATACTTGAAACATTAGTTATTCTACATTTAGCCTGTTACTCGCTCGGTACTTGTACTGACCCCTTCGGGGCCCCCACCATTTCAGGTTGAAGCTCAAGCTTGCTATTCTCACCTTGCTCGGTGAAGTGATCTAAAGGAAGACGTGTGATAAGTCCGTATTTTGACACGTATTTGATGCGTGTTGAGATCGGATTTTGATGATTTTCCTAGCTTTAAGGTATTACAAGTCTCAAATTCAGCTCAAGTTATGTTTAACAGGCGTTGGTTCGAGTTTTGTGTCATTTGGAGTCAAAATCAGGAATTTAGAGTTCGGCACTGGCGCTTGAGGAGAAATCGGGATGAGTTGAGAAGCACTTGCGATTGATTTGAGAGATATGGAGGTCACCGGGAGGTTTACGATGAAGATTTGATGACAAAAGAGCTCTAGGATTGGCTACGGGGTCTAAAGAAGATGAATGAAGCTTGAAAACGACGATCAGGATGACCTTCTGTCAATCGTTCAAGCATATCTCTTTGTATAAAGAACCAATGGACACGATTCAAGTTCCATATGAAATCTAACTTCAAGGGATACAAATGATATGAAGACACCTTTGCGAGAATTTGAGAGGAAGAAGTTGAAAACAGACGATGAAGTCAGATGATCTCTGCTGCGATTTCAGAAAGACACCTTCCACCGTTTTGATCATATTTCTTGATTGGATGATTCAAATCACATTCGGAAAATTGGGGTGGATAGAGGACTTCTCCCTCAAGTTGAAGGATATGGTTTCCACTACTAAAATAAAACCATACTGGATTGGGAGGCAGGGTCAAGCTGTCACTCATTTATGTTTTGCTGATGACATTCTTATATTTTTGAATGGGGAAGCTAGATCACTGTTAAATTTCAAGAATTTTCTTGGTCTTTATCAAAGGGTTTCGAGGCACGCTATTAATTTTGATAAAAGCAATTTTGGATGTGGGAAAACTTCCCTGGCCAGGATCAGAAGGATGGAAAAGCTTCTAGGAATGATAAAGATCAATCTCCCTCTGAAATACCTTGGAGTTGTCTTGCATAAAGGTATAAACAGAATCAGATATTGTAGCAACATTATTACAGCTTTTGATAAAAAGCTAACAACCTGGAAACAAAGGAATCTCAATCAGGGAGGTAGGTTGATTTTAATCAATCATGTACTTAATACTATTCCTCTTCATACATTAGCTGTGTATACACTTCTTAAATCTGTTATGAGGACCCTAGAGAGAAAGATGGCAAATTTCTTTTGGGGATCCAAAGATAACAGGCAAAATTATCACTGGCTGGAATGGAAAGATCTTTGTTTACCTACACAAGAAGGTGGACTAGGAATTAGGTCTTTGACGGACATTGAAAAAACTTTCTCCCTCAAGTTATGGTGGAAGTGGAAAACAAAATCATCTCTTTGGGCTATTTTTTGTCATTCTAGATACCCTCAAGGTATGGACTCTACTCCTAAATCATATGATTCAGCCATATGGAGGAGACTCTATGCTATTAACCAGATTGGACTGACATTGACCTCAGAGGATGACACTGGACAGTTAATATGGGAGGCTGCAAATAATGGGGTTTTTTCCCTGGCTTCTGCATTTCATGCAATCAGGGGTAAGAAGGCTGTGACTTTCTCCTTTAGACATTCATGGAATAAAAAACAAACTCCTCAGATCCATCTTTGTCAATGGAAGATTATTCGTAGAATTCTTCCATTTCCAGAGAATTTAGCCAGATTTGGTATTAATATTTTTCCTACCATGTGCCCTTTCTGTAAGAGAGATTCTGATTCCATGAATCATGTACTATTCTATTGCTCTTACAGTAAGCAAGTCTGGAAGTACTTCATGGGCTCTTTTGATATTCCTTTTCCCACAGGCAATATTTCTATTAGACAAGTTCTAATATCTTGGTGGCTTGAGGTCGGTTCCAAATCTTGATGGACATTTTCAAGCAGGTTGTACCTGGTTTTGTTGTATGGCACTTGTGGAAAATGTATGCAAATATTATTTGGGGGGATTTACAACATCCAAGGCCGATTAATGTTGTAATTAATAACATCAAATTATTCAGTCAAGATTGGGCTGCAGCTAAGTTATTGAAGGATAAATATACTCCATCTAAGAGGTTAATTGATGAACAATTCCTTCCTAGGTCTTTTCTTAAGCTTAGAAGGAAAATTCGAGTTGTGAAATGGAGATTACCTGCCTTGAGCTTTAAACTTAATGTTGACGCCTCGTTTAATCATGGTGTAGCTAAAGGTGGAGCAGTAATGCGTTCAAAAGCAGGGAACTTTGTATGGGCTCTGTCATTTCCGATTACAGCTAGATGAAGTGATGAAGCTGAAATATATGCACTATATGTTGCGGTGGAGTGGGCTATTGAACATGGATTTGAGGATTTCGAAGTTGAATCGGATGCTATATCTGTTATTAGGGCGATTGCAGATGGGGATCTCTCTGGAAGATGGAGAGGGACGGTTGAAGAGGTGCGCAGATGGACTATTGAGCACCGGCTATCATTCAGACATATTTTTAGGGAGCAAAAATGGCCAGCACATTACTTATCCAGATTGGATCCTGATGCCAATTCACTTAAGGTTTATTACTCGGTTGATGCTCTCGGTTGTAGTATTAAAAAAGCCTTAGGTGTTGATAGATTTGGACTGTATTATTTCCGTTTTTAATTTTTTGCTGTATTTCCTTCATTTTTTTCCTATGGTATGTTTTTCGAAGAAGTATGCTTCTTCGTACTGGTCTACTCCCCCTCTCTTTTTGTAATTTTGTTTCATTCTAATAAAACACGGCAAATGTTTCCCGGCAAAAAAAAAGTATATATGACTAAACTCCGCATTCATCACACATAACCAACCATTTCTTTTTTCAAACTTCCCTTCAAGCCACCATTGTCCCAGATCACCTTATAGTAACCTCCAATGGCCCGTTTGAACCATAATTATGTCTCGCTCTCTTTTGCAGTTCTCTTTCACTCACTTCTTCTACCAGTTTACCCCCTTGCTTCCTCCTTTACCGGTTTACCTCCTTGCTTCTTCATTCAACATCTATCTTTCACCCTTTCTCTCTCCCCACCCACCTCACCAATTGCTAACCAAACATGGAAGAGTTCTAAATTTCCATTATTCTCTATTAAACTACTCATAAGTTGCCCCCCCCCCCCCCCACGGCCCTACCTCCTAATTTGCAATCCAAATAATCTGTGAGTGTAATACTAAATTTATTTATCTTTTCTTTTGGCTTTCTTAGTGTTTTGTTCCAAATTTCGTGCTTACATGTTCCCTACCACTGTTTTTGTGTGAGGTGTTGGATTCGTTTACGTTGAACTGACCTTGAGATTTATTAACTATCTTACAGACAGTGATATGCTTGTACTTCCTTTTCTTCCCTTTATTTTTAAACAGCATTCACATGCCTTTAGATAATTCACAATTTTTAGTATTAACCAGGTACGGGGCCGAACGACTAAAGGCCTATAATTTGTATAGGAGAGTTTGTGATGGATAGCTGTTTCCACAATTATTTCTTGTGTGTTGAGTGTTCATAGATTATGTTCCAGACAGGGCACTGGTGTAGCCAGAAGGTTACATTAGGGCGTGCCAGTAAAAATGATTTTATTATTATAATTTTCTCTTTTATGCTGTAAAAAAAGATCGAGTTTTGAACTTTCATTTTAAAAAACTTGACTTTAATTTATACAAGTATATGTAGTGTGAAAATATTATTTGTAATGATAATGTAAATCAAGAAAAGGGAAAGAATAAGATCAGAGAAAATCAATAAATGGGATTTGGATTTGCTTCAGGATCTGTTTATCCAACGTGATGTTCAACTAATTTATGGTATACCGATTAGTCTCGGGCAGGTTTCGGACAAAGTTTGCTGGAAGTGAGAGGAGTCGGGACGCTTCACAGTTCGTAGCTGCTACAGGGCATTGGTCGGGGAAATGGTAGCAGTTGGTTGGACGGGCTGGGCAGTGATGTGGAGGTGGAAGCTTCCTCCCAAAATTAAAAGTTTTTTCTGGCAATTATGTTCTGGCTTTCTTCCTACGACGGTGAATTTGAGGACGAGAAGGGTGAACTGTGAAGTGAGGTGCGGCTTGTGTGGTGGGGCGGATGAATCATTATTTCATTTGTTTGTGGCTTGCTCGGTTGCCCGAGAGGCCTGTGAAGTAATTCGGTGGAATTGGGCATCGAGTGGGGTGACAAGCTTTTTGGATCAACTGCATATTGAATTTCAGAACAGGAGGGAGGAGGATCTTTGCAAGATGGTATGGGGATGCTGGGGTTTGTGGTGTGAAAGAAATAACAGGGTGTGGAATGGGGTGAGCTCGGGAGCTAAGGCAGTGATGTTAAAGGCAAGGATTTTCGTCGAGAGCTGGGCTTTGGCGCAATAGCAGGGTTGGGAAAAGAGCTTTCAAGCTGCAGGTGGTGCAACTTCCTCGAAACGGCTTTTACCTGGCAGGCTGAAATTAAACGTCGACGCAGCAGTTGAAGAAGATGGAGTCGGGCTTGGCTGCTACGGAATGAGGCAGGGGTTTTTATTGTAGGAGCTTCCAAGCCGTGGAGAGGACATCTTTCTTCATGGGAGGCAGAGCTAGTTGGCATTCGGGAAGCTCTCAGTTGGGTAAAAGAAAACGGATGGGATTTTGTTAATGTCGAATCAGATGCATCCAGGGCAATATCGGAGGTCCAGTGTGGCTCAAGTATCTCTTTAGCTGGGGTCATGGCGGAGGATATTAGAGGACTCAGTTCTTGCTTTACGGAGATTTCTTTCTCTCACGTCAGAAGATCATCGAACAAGGCGGCTGGCTCATGTCTTGGCTCAGGCGGCTTGTTCTATGTCTGGTTGTACTTTTTGGAATGATTTTCCTCTTATTTTTCTTTTACATGTTTTGAACATTGATTCTATTAATAATAGTTAAATTTCTTTCAAAAAAAGATCAGAGAAGAAACATGAGCACTTAAACATGGTCGGGGGTCATGCAAAAGAGAGTTAATGACTAAAATGAATAAACGAAATAATCATAAATAATTAACATAAAAGTTGAACGAAACAATGTTAAATCATTTGTCCTACTCCTCCTAGCAAGTTGACCTTTTAAGATGGAACCCTGAATCTTAACAACAAATTACAAGAGTTATAATTTGAAAAAGGAATTAGATAAAAACACAAAATCAGAAAAAACAAGAACTTGAAAATTATGATAAAAAATACTCCGTAGAAAATTAAACAACACCCCACAGAAAGAAGCCACAAAAGAAAATAAAAAGAAAAGTGCAATTCCGAGTTGCACTCTAAAATCCAAAACAGCACTACGCCGGTGGAAAATAAATTATAGACCTGGTACAACCATGAAACAACAACGAAGAAGAAGGGAGGAGGAGAACGAGGAGGAGAAGGGCTTCAGGCTCCGACCAGCCGCCATGTGTGCGCTGCCGTTGCCTCGCCGCCACAGTGTCGATGGCACGGGTTGGTTGCCATCCCATCGTGTTCCCACCACCTTGCTCATCTGATACATGTGTAAGAGAATGTAGCTGGCTTGGTAGAATTTATCCATAGGAAGAGAGAGACCTGACCCTTTAGTGGGAAGTTGTGGAGTGGTAAAGACGAGCAACAAAGATAAGAAGTAGGGGTAAATTTGGAATCGGGAAAATAGCCCCAAATAGAACTAAATTAATGCTGAAATTCCAAAATAGGAGTAGTATAATTGTATTCCCTAAATAGGACTTTTCTTCCAATTTTACCCCTAATCATTTAAACCCATCTCACACCCTACCTGTCATTTTATTCGCACGTGGATTTCAATTCAACCTGGCGCGCATCTTTGTGCGCAGCAGATTGCTTGGCCTCAACCACGAGTATCAGCAAGCCCCGGCGAAAGCAGCAACGTTCACCGGCTAGCGGTGGCAACGTGCGCCGGCGAGCAGCGGCAGCAAGCACCAGATCTCCTCTTCGTCTTACTCCTCCGTTTCTTCAAATTTCCCGTCTGGATCTGGTGTGGTGGTGATGCTAGGCTCCAAGTTCTTTTTCTCTCTTCTCATTTGGAATTTTTAATTGCTCTTGAAGGATGCAAACGTGGTTTTCAATTAGGTTGTTACAATTTCCAAAATTTTAAAAAATGCCATAATATTGGCAGTTTTACTCTTTACAAAATTTCGTATTTTTCTTACAAAATGCCATTAAAATGGCAATCTCAATTTATGTTGGCATTCTGTTCAAAAGTTTGGCATCAGTGGTGGCGTCCGTCGGATCTGTGGTAGCAGCAGCCGGATCGGCGGCTAGATCTGCTGGGTCGGCGGTCGATGGTCGACAGAGGCCAGATCTGCTTCGGTCTAGGAAGGTGGCGGCAAGATCTATGACGGCGGTCAACAGATCTGCAACGACGGCTAGTTTTGAGTAGGGGAGAGCAAATCCGACCCTACCCGATTGACCCGACCGGATATATCCGATTATTTTTTTTGGGTCGGATAACCCGACCCAAATCACCCAAACCCGACCCGATTTTTGCAACCCGAGAATTAAGCGGGTAGCGGGTAGGGTTACCAATTATGCTACCCGACCCGCCCGAAAACCCGAACTAGCGGAGTATATATACTACTTTGAATTATTATGCATGTTCAAATATCTCATTTATTGTATGTCAATTACCATATTATGCATATTCAAGTATTTCAATTACCGTATTTGTAAAACTATAACTTTGAATATTGTATTGTTATGACTTTAAATGATATTTTGACCAATTGTCATTTTATTTATCACAATATCAAATATGTATACCACCGTATATTATTATTTTACATGTTCAAATATGTCGATTGTCATATTTATACAACTATTACTTTAAATGTTATACTAGTATAACTTTGAATGATATTATTACCAATTACCATTTTATTTATCACAATTTTAACAATAATAAATTAAAATCCGAATGGACCCGAAAACCGAATCAACCCGACCGAAACCCAAACATAACCCGACCCGAAAAACCCGATATATTTTTTGATAGGGTAGGGTTTGAAATTATCAATCCGATACCCGAACGGGTTTACCATTTTCGAACCCGACCCGTGCTCTGCCCTAGTTTTGAGGTTGCGGCGGCTGAAGACGACATCCGAGGCCAGCGGCCGGAGGCGGCCGCAGGTGTCCGGAGGCAACTGGTCATGCTCTTTGTCGATGAGAGTCTGTTTGTCAAGCTTCTGGGGTATTTTTGTAAGGTTACAAATAATAACTCCTATTTTGGGAATTTTTATACTTTAATCCTATTTTGGCAATTAAGAATATAATCACTCTCATTTAGGTAAATCTCCCTTTGGAATATGAAAAAAAAATATACTCCTATTTAGGAGTTAAAAACTAGTACTACCTCCCTCCAACTAAGACTGAGATAAGAGAAGATGACACGATTATTAAAAAAAGTGAATTTGTGTGGTTGATATTAAATCGATAAAGTAAGAATAAAGTAAAAATGATTTAGAGCCACACAAACTTTACCAAATTTGGTGTGAGACAATCTCAGTGAGACTTCTCGAAAAGGTAAAATGAGATAATCTTAGCGGAACGGAGGGAGTAGGTCCTATTTAAGTACATACTCTTTTTTCTTCTGTTCTTTTTCTTTTTTCTGTACTTTTTTATTATCTAATAAAATTTACTTTGCATAAAAAAAGTTGTTCGATGTTCGATTCGGTTTATGATTTTCCGGTTTTAAATCAAACCAAACCATTCATTTTAAACAAATTCTTACCAAATGATTTAAAGTAAACCTAAACCAAACCACCAATTTTCCATTCGGTTCGGTTTGATTCGATTAAAACAAACCATTTTGGCCGGTACTACTTTAACCGTCGATAACACCTTCCCGCGTCGCGCAGTTTCCAGAAACCCCTACAATCTTCGACGGAATGATTTTTACCCGGCTTTTCTTCCAGCACTTTGATCATACCACAACGGAAAATTCAGCGCAACCGAGTCTCCCTTCTCCTCCTAAAAAACAGTAAACGTTCCTCTCACGATTTCCGTTTGGACGTCGCCGTTGTCGACAATTCTCCGTCACCGGTGGTCCTCGGCGGTCTCCTAAAGATGTCTGCGGTCGGATCTTCTTTATCGCAGTACACGTACCCCAACGGGACCTACTTTCCGACGCCATTCCACCTTCAACAGCAACAACCGCAAGCCTACATCGGCCCCGCCTCCCTCCCCCCTGTTCAAGTCCCCGTTCCTTCCGTCGTTCCTGCAGTATATCCAGTTACCGCCCCTCTTCCGAGTACATCCCTATCTCAATACCAACAAGTAAGCATTCCAATTCCAAGTTGTTGGATGATAAGTAGTTTTTTTCCCTCCATATGATGACCAGGGGAGCGTTTCGTAATTTCTTTCACATGGTTAGGAAATTTATCATTTTGATTTGTGTCTGGTTTAATTACAGGCAAATCAGCTGTTTCAAAGGGTTGCTCAAATAGTTACACCAGAAGCAATTGAGAATGTGAAAGCCGCACTTGCAAGCAGTGAAATCGAACAGAAAGCTGATGCTAAGAAGAAAGCAGTTCATCGTAAAGCTGCTGGCCAAACTTGGGAGGATCCCACCCTTGCTGATTGGCCAGAAAGTGGGTTATTTTCTTCCTTCTTTATGATTCATGATGACATGTACCTTGTTGGTACATAAGGGTGTATAGAACTTATTCAAAAATCGCTATAAGGCTTAATAAGGTATTAAAGCTGAAAATTCACACACTTCCACAGTTCAGTGGCCCAACTGAATGGAAGAACATCATTCAGTGAACAAAGTATAGCCTATCGATGTTTTCTTTAGTTTTTGAAAAGGACTTTTAAAGCATTACTAGTTTACTAGTTAAATACCAACTTGTCAAAAATGTAAGTTTTAAATTTAGAACATTAATGCCACCAACACAGTTGTGGACAATTGATTGGGCAATGGTTATGACCAATAATCAATGTAGTCACCAATAGGCAATTGACCAATTGACGCTTCACAATCTATTTTGTAAAGTTCGTCCCAAAATCAAGTTTTAACATGTTTGCCCAATAGATTTTTAATGGAACTCTGTCTATTTTGTTGTGCGCCTGCTTGTTTTAGGAAAGAATTGTTTATGTAGCTCAAGTGTGAATTTTTCAACTGTCCTCACTCCTCACAGCTGTTGTCATTTTTGTAGCACATTTGGTATGAAAAAGTTCATGGTTACTGTGCAGATGATTATCGCTTATTTTGTGGTGATCTTGGAAATGAGGTGAATGATGATGTTTTATCAAAAGCATTTTCAAGATTCCGATCATTTAACATGGCCAGGGTAAGTCATATGTGAAGTCATTTATATTGTATACTTAGATATTTTCATTGACATACATGAGCATTTGCTTGTCCCTTAAGAATTTTGTCACGAGTGCTTGAAATGCCTCTTAGTTCTTAATTAACTTGTCCCCTCAGATATACATGCTCCTTCGTTGGCATGTCCCGATTTGCCTGGCATTTGCATGTCCCTCTATTTTTCCTGTTGTCCATCAAGGTAGTCCCTTTTTTTGTTTTCATCTACGCAGAACTATTAATGTCTTTAAAACTTAAAAATGAATGTAATGATTAATGACAATTGTATATTTTTTGTTGTTAAATTACTAGTAATAAGTATAGGAACTGTTTAAGCAGTCACCTAAAGTTTTGGGTGTTTAAAACTGTTTCTCACTTTTGCAATTACACAGAAAAGTACTTTTTCACCAAGCACTCTGATTTTTTCCTTTTCTAGATCACTTCACTTTTCAAATACCACCAACTTTTACTATTAATAAACAATAACTATTCATGCAAATTTTAAAATGAATCACTTATCAAGAGTAGAAGCAAGCTCAAACACTCCTTATATCACTTATATGGCTGTTCATTTGAGATCAAACTTTCATTTGTTTTTTATTTGTTTGTTTATTTGTGTGTTCATTTATTGCAGTAAATTAATAGTGCCCCGAGCTTTCATGCTTTTATGTATCTCTCTTCTGGATTGCTTTCATAACTGCCTTTTAACAGACACATGCCCCCAATAAAAAGAAATAGAAACCCCCAAGCTTTAAAGCATTTGATATGTGGTAAAGCATCTAATATGTGGTATATCTTGCGTTTCAATTGTTCTTGGTGGTTATAATGCTATATCATCACAGGTTGTGAGAGACAAAAGAACAGGCAAAACAAAAGGCTATGGATTTGTGAGTTTTTCCAACCCTTTAGATCTTGCAGCAGCCCTTAAAGAAATTAATGGTACGTAGGCTACCATCTTTTACTTGCACATGCATAGATCTTATGTTCTGTTTACCTTAATCACGATCTTAAATAAACCTTCAGAGCGCAAGGTCTTTCATAGCTAAGTAATCAATTTCACAGACCCCCAACGAGCAAGAAATGGTATGCGGCTGTTACTTTCGTATAGCTTTATTTACTTAATCTGCAATTGGAATATAGACTTTGGCTGTAGTAATTTATCCTTTTTACAAGAAAATGCAAATGGTTGGAAATGGGAGTGAAATGGATGAATGCCTGACGTATCGTGTGTGCATAATAAACAAAATAAACATGATGTCTCTTAACCGTTGTTTCTTTAGATAGGTTTTAGTGGGAAGAAGTGGGGAAAATAAATTTCTTTATTGTTGGGACAAGGAAAAGAGAGTGGGAGCCGGGAGGAGAGAAGAAGAAAAAGCTGGCCACTTCGAAAAAATCTCACTCAGTGAGATTCTATAATAAAAAATTATAGAAAAATAAAGGTGGACCTTCTAAATATAATATACACCCACCATCTTATTATTATTATTATTATTTCACAGACATATACGTAGTAGTTAATAAATACGAAGTAAAAAATATCTTTTACACACATTTCATTTGTTTTTCAATAATTTACTTCTTTTCACATCCTCAAACATCACAGTGCAGTGCTGTAATCCTTATTCGTAAATGTATGCTGACATACAACATTTGGATTGCAGGGAAATATGTTGGAAATCGACCTATCAAACTTCGGAAGAGTAGGTGGCAAGATAGGATTGACTATGAAGCTTTAGAAAGGCAAAAGGTTAGAACATTTTCATTTAACATCACCCTGGATATACAAGCTTGAGGATTGAACCTTGCTTGGTTGACCTTCTGTGTGTATGATCTTGTTTTGGCAGAACCAAACTCAAAAGAAGACCAAGATGCCCAAGAAGAACATATTGCACAAGTGAATGCTGATAAGGCATGCAATTTGAGATTCAAAGACAAGCTGCGTAGGAATAATTTTTTGTTAAACTTTAGAAATTTATCTGATGTAATTATGTTTGGAGTACTAGTTATCCCTGGTAGTCCGACATGATTGTATGAAATACATATGGGATTTCATCTTTTCTTTAGATGCAAGATCTCTGTTAATGTGTAGATTTCTTCTGAACTATATATCGAAGTGGAAATAGTGGATGCAGGTATTGGTAGACTTGGTTCTAGAACCGGACTTGAACAATGCAGGTACAAGGCCGGGCTGGTTGTTAGAATTGATTGGAAGTGCTTGTAAATTTTATTAATAAATCAAATCATGGCGTTTGGGATAGAAGGAAAAGTAACTTATTTTAGTTGGATAGAACTCACAGAAGTGATTGTGATTGTGATCTTTGTTACGTTATGTTTGCCTTGAACTATTAAAATTTAGCCATTAATTATTAAATGTAGTTCTGTTTGGATAAAAGGTTGAAGCTAAAATTAATTATTATATGTAATTCTGTTTGTATTTAGTCTGCTCAATACCTCTATGCCTAAAGTTCAACCTCTTAGCACGGGGGTACTTTAGAGCAGGGTGGAGATATGGGACTAATGGGAGGTTGGTAGGGGCCTCTGTTCCCCAAAGAAATTCCTTAAGCCTGGTGTCCTGACTTGCCATTTCTGGGTCCGTATCTGCTAGTTTAGAGAACACCAGCAGCACCGGCAAACGAGATAAAAGAATGAGAACGGGAATTAATTTCTACTTGAGGTACTATGTCAATCCCACCGGCAGTTTCGGCATGAGCTCGCAATTTGGTTCCTGTCTGATGGCAAGCTCTGTTACACCACTATTTCGCCGTAGGGAGGCCTTCATTACACTTGTTGTCCTTATAGAATGTCGCCATATTGTCTGTGGAAGTAAGATTATGAGAGAAAATGACACAATTGGTATGAATGTGGTCGTGTGGGGTAAGTGGAGCTTGAAATTGTGTTGGAGAATGAGCACATATGTTTTACCACCTCTAAGATGTTCAGACCAGCCAAGATCCTGGTCTTGACATCTTAATTATCATGTTCAGGATTTAAAGTGCTTTGTCTTCTCTCTAATCTCCCTGCACTTCAAAATCAAATCCATTTCATTCCGTTAAAGCTCTGGGAGCTGGACTTTTCTTAAATTTTTAACTCTAGTTCAACACTTCAACCGCATTGGGATTTGGGAAGATGCTAAAAACCGGCATGTAATTTTGTAGTTTGAGACTTTGAGTGAATTTGTTGTAAAAAAGTTCTTGTAGGCTTTGTTTTGTAGCACCAGATATTTGGTATTTATATTATGACTCGATCTAAGTTCAAAAGTTGAAATAGATAACCCAATGAGTGTATCGCATTGGGAAACAAGTGAACAATTTGTAATTTTCATATTAAGGAGGTTTTTTATTTGATCCAGACTATATATACACACATTACTATATTTAATAATATATTGAAATACATACTATAATATATACACACAACAATCTTATAAAATATAGAAAATGTAATACTATAACAAAGATCTTCGCTTAATATATTACTAAACTGTAATTTTATATTTCTGACTTCCGAGTCACCTTTTGAACTATTTTTGTCGTGCTTCATTTAGCTAATAATTCAAATTCAACACTTTTATAATAACAATTGCCCTCCATTCAGACATTGATTGACGGAATGAAATGAGTTTTGACACATTAATTCAACTCATAGATCTTAATGAAAACATTAGCCTCCGGCTCTAGTTTGTCACTTTGTTGTGACTAACATATCTTTAATGATTCAAGAGATGGCTATATAGGGCAGGGAAAAGCAACGACTTATTTAGGAAATGACACTTTGTTTTAGTGGTGTTCACGATCTGTGCTCAAAATGCTCAGATATTAAGAGTTGCAACAGAAAGCACACACGAGTGGATAAGGTTATCCGGGAGAAAAGAGCATATGAATACAACAGTTGGGGACACTAAAAGCAAACAAAAATTATAATCGCGCTGTTCTATTTTGGAATAATAACTGAAGTACTCATTTTGGTTAATTAAATTAGAGAATGAGGAAAAACATTTCAAGGATTTGTAAATGTATAAACACTAAGAAGTAAGAACCTTATTGTCTCTATACACAAAATATTTGGAGGTTTGTGGCTATGCTTTAAAAACCAACAAATCATTGCCGTGGGCAGCACCCAACGCAATGTCAATTATGGAAGGAAAAGCTACTCTTTGAAAGAAGTGAAGAAGGAGACTGTGTCTTTTAGTGCACAGATGAAGTGATCAATATCCTCTTTGGTGTTGTAGAAATGAAGGCTAGCACGTGCACTTGCACTGATTCCCAGGTATCTATGCAAAGGCTGAGCACAGTGATGACCAGATCTGATGGCAACGCCGTGCTGCATGTCACATACAAAGTTATTCGTGATTCAGAGTCATGTTGCAAATAATCATTCAAACAATTTACTGATAACTCTTGGTTTTCATTTTTTATATGCAAAATAGTATTGATTAACTTGTTCTAAAATGGGATGTTATCTTTTCACACCAAACAAATCTCAAATGAGACGAGATTGGTACACACTTTTGATATATTGGCTATCCCAATTCTGACATTTTCATCATATACTTATTCAATTTTATGCTATTATTAATTAATATTACTATATTTTTTATGTTAATTTATGTATTTTGAGTGTTCATAAATTTATGTTTCTGAATTAGTCTTAACTAACTAGGCACCAGCTATTGGATAATTTACTATACTGTGTATTTTGAAAGGTAAAATGGTGAGAATTCAGTGTTTAGCTTGTTTAGGTTCAATTTTGTTAGGCTTAAAATTCTTATTTTTGACATTTTTGAGTATGTTTTGTTGATAATTTATTAGTTTCACCTTTTTCTGTCATTGGTCTGGCTTTATCGACAAGGAGAGAATGAGGTCAGTTTGTAATATTGTTTCTTTTATTAGAAATCAGTTTGTAATACTGGAAAAATGAGACCCATTTGTTGAGGATAGATAGGTTGTATTGGTACCTGTTGATCAATGAAAGTTGCAATATCTGTAGGGTGAACATCCTTGATGTTAAAAGAACAAAGTGCTGCCCGTTTGACAGTTTGTGAAGGTGCAGGACCGTAGATACGGGCATTGGGTACTGAAGAGAGGCTGTCAAATAGATAACGACCGAGCTCCACCTGAGAAAAGATTCAATATGAAAAACAACAGCTATCATAATGGTATGAAATATGAAATATGTAAATAATTCTATTTTCTCCTCTATCCCTTAAAGAACCTCATAGTTTGACCTTCACAGAATTTAAGAAAATTAGATTCTTTTCTTTGACTCACTCAAACATCTTTTTTTGTGGTGAATGGTTATTGTAGAGTACACAGTTTTTATACTAAATACTCCCTCCATGCCAGCTTAAGCTTCTCACTTGCCTTTTTTGACGTCCCAGCTATACCCTCCCATTTTTAGGAAATAATTAGCATTCTTAAATGACAAATAATCATCAAATATTAAAAATAATACTCTGTACATCTATCATATCAGAGTTATCATCAATGACCTCATTATATTTATACTCATCAAAGTTACTTCTGAAAATATACTCGAATTACCTTATTTAATTATTGTCTAGATAATATTTTTCAATGAGAAGCTTAAATTGGGACGGAGGTAGTATTGTTTAACATGGTTTGACATTGTTTAGTTCTTATTACATAAGGGTAGTAGTCTAATAGAGTAAATTGATAAGTTTATTTAGTAAATAAGGAGATAGGACCTTATTTAAGGACGTCCCGGAAATGAATACATGAATTTCAAATAGGGATGGAGGTAATATTTTTTAACAAAAAGAAGAAAAAGAGACTATTGCTGTCTGATGGCACCTGAGACTTGACACATGTTGGGGGATGGACATACCTCATAATCATGAATTCTTTGCATGCCTATCCCAGACAGATAGTCAATCGCTGCTCCAAGCCCTATAGCTTCTCCAATTGCAGGTGTCCCCGCCTCAAATCTGATCACCATAGTGAGTGTTTGACAGAGTGGTAGAAGCACTTTTAAAATTTTGAACTTTTAAAAATTAAAAATATAGAAGCACTTCTGTTCACTTTAAAGAAAGAAACTTTAAAAAGCCTATATCCTATCATGTTGATTCAACCATGAATTGACCATGAATTTTCTGTTCAATCATGTATCTTATTAACTTTGGGTTTAGTAGTTTAATAGAACGTTTACTGTAGTTGAGCCTTGTAATCCTCCCAACCCAAAATGTGACATAATTATAGGAAAGGAGGAGGTACACTTGAATATAAGTTAAACACTTTGACTATATAAAGTGTTAGCATTACTCCCCCACTACACACACCCCAAAAGATATTTCTATGTTTTCAAAAATAATAGAATAAGGTTCTATAAAAAAGATCCTGGAAAACGACAAGGCATTTCAGATGAAATAGTAAAATACCATGCAAGACACCAACCTGGAAGGTGGATCAGCATAAGTTGAATGATCCATATACACATCAGCTATCATTTCACCTCCTCCTGTACTCAAGGAAAACCAATACTGCACACTTTAGTACACCAAATCCAATCAGGATTTCAAGAAATAATCCATATCCAAATGTAGATAGACCATAATAAGACACACTAAGAATACATACCCATGAATGGAGGCATAGTACTCAGGAGTTCACTTTTACCATATAAGAATCCAATGCCTGTGGGCCCACACATCTGAAGCATGATTAGCCCGTCGATTCAAGCAGGTTATTTGCATATTTAGATGTTAAACTGAGGGACAAAGATCTCACCTTATGGGATGAAGCAACAAGAAAATCAGCATCAAGGTTCTTAACATCAACTACCATGTGTGGCACACTTTGGCAAGCATCTACTAGTACTTTTGCTCCAATGGCATGTGACCAACTTATAATTTCTTCAATTGGAAGCAAAGAAGCTGCATAATGTGATAATAATGATATAAGACCAAGTTGTGGTAGTGATATGGAAAGCACTAAGATACAGAAAAAGACAAAAATAGTGCAATCTATCAAATCAAATATACAAAAGTGACCTTGTTTTTTGTAAAATACACCACAAATATTAATTCATAGAAGTTGGCAACATAAAGAAGCCGACATGATGTCAAATTGTACTGTATGCCAACCTAAATTAGAATAACTAAGATCACTAAGCCAGTTAGATATGGTCCATGTTTAATATGTATATATAGAGAGAGAGAGAGAGACTGTTACACATTTACCCCCTATCCCCACCCCTAAAAAAACCATGTTTAAGGAATTTATTTTTGTCCCAAAAGTAGAGTCAGTATTAAGAGTCAACTTTCATCTATAAGTAAATTTTTGTAAAGCCGAACTGCAAGATGGTGTAAACTACTATACATAATCTCGGAAACAAGCTTAAAGGGTATA